ATATATACACACACACTCACACAGACACTTGTCAATGATGCACTCATTGCTATAGCACTACTCAAGATGGAATATTATAGTTTTCTGCTAGGTTTGCTCGCATTTTTCCTTCTTGGCAGGTTGTTTGCAAGCGCTGATATTGTTGAATTTGATGAAAACTATGAAATCACGTGGGGTTATGATCATGTTCTCTTATTTAATCAAGGAAGAGAAGTTCAGCTCTCTATGGATATCTCTTCCGGTTACCTTCTTTCCCTCTAAACACTCAATTAATATTGACGACAAGTTTAAATATTTACTTATGATGAAGAGATTGACTTGAGAAAAAGACATACATTTGTTGGAATGTTCTTACAGGAGCTGGGTTTGGGTCGAAGCTAAGATACGGTAGTGGATTTTTCCACATGAGGATAAAGCTACCGCCGAAGGATTCTGCTGGGGTTGTTACTGCTTTTTACGTAAACATCAAAGCATCTTTTTCAATTGCTCTTTTCATTAACTATTACTATATTTTCTCATTGCCCTTTTATTCTTGCTTCAATATGCACTAAGTAATTAATAATTTTGTAATGACAGCTAACCTCACAAGGCGACAAGCATGACGAGCTAGATTTTGAGTTCTTGGGGAATAGAGAAGGCAAGCCTATCACGTTGCAAACCAATGTGTTTGCAGATGGTGTTGGGAATAGGGAGCAACGGATTCTTCTCTGGTTTGATCCTGCTGCAAATTTCCACACTTACCAAATTCTATGGAACCAACACCAAATTGTGTACGGATTACTAACATTTAATTTAAATCTTATAAATGTGCTAAAAGTTAATTAACTTATATACCTTAATTGATAGGTATCATACTTTTGAAAAATTTATATCCATATACAGATTCTATGTGGATGACGTCCCAATTCGAGTGTTCAAGAACAACAAAAATATTGGAGTAGGGTACCCATCGCAGGCAATGCAAGTAGAAGCAAGCTTGTGGGATGGAGATAGCTGGGCAACTGATGGAGGCAAAACAAAGACTAATTGGAGCATGGCACCTTTCAAAGCTCATTTCCAAGGATTTGATATAGGCGGTTGCCCAATAATTCAGAACACAAACGTTCAAGAATGTTATTCTCCCAAGTATTGGTGGAATTCAGAGAAATATTGGAAGTTAGATTCCAAGCAACAAATAGAGTTGGAAAATGTAAGGAACAAATACATGAGCTATGACTATTGTTCTGATAGGCCTAGATATCCCGTACCTCCTCCAGAGTGCCTTCTTCAGTAGCAGACAACATTAAAGAGAGTTCATGACCATATTTCAACAAGAAAAGTAACGGGTAAAGCAGATAAAGATAAACCAACAAAACTTCTCTTCTTTCTGCAGCTATGAATTTCCTGTAACCTTCAGCCTTTAAATCAGCTTGGCAGCAAAATGAAGCCATATTTCAACAAGTAGAAATAATTGAAGATTGGGATACAACTCTTTAACTCAACAAATATCTTTTGTTTTGAGAATATGTCCCGTCTCTTAACCTCATCAATGAAATCTTACCATGTAGCATCATTAAAGAAAAGTAATTACTTTTCATGTTTAAAAGCAAACTTCCATTATGCTTAGTAAAAAACCCTCCTTAACCATATTAATTTTTCATAAAAGAAAACCATTTCTATTATTTGGTGCACTCAAACCATTGACATAAATTGTGAAAGGAGGTGAGGGAATTTGAGTGTTTTGGAGATGAGTTGATGGAGAAACAGAGGAGAGAAAGGGATGACTAGATCTACGTATTAGTAGGAGATTTTGTGGTGAAGAATAATTTTTGGAAAAAGAGAAATAGGTCGAAAGAAAGGGAAGAAGTTAGGCTTCACGCATCATCTAAGAAAACCAGTAAAATGAACCATTGCAGGCCAGACAAACAAGGAATGGAATAACCAATTGACGTGATCTGGGAGAGGAGGTGAGGGAATTTGAGTGTTCTAGGTAGACTTAGTATTTTTAGATATAACACGGAATTAAATGGGTTTGGGTTTAATTTAAAAAATTTTGTATTTCATACCTGTCAAATATGATTAACACAGTTAAGACATGCTTAAAGTCATTTAATTAATTTGTGTTATCATTTTTAACCCATATAAATGGACACGTTTATCAACCCATTTAAGTTTTGTAATACAAGACTATTTTTTTATGATAATAGATTATTTGTGTTAAATTTTATTATATTTGATGCTATTATTATCTAGTTATAATTATTTTTATAATTGTTGATTTTAAATTTGAATAATAAAAGCTTTACGACACTGATTGTACAATCTCTTACATGGCTTCATATTTTGTCCACAATACCATATTTAATCGCATCATTGCACTTACTGATGATACAAATTACTACAACATTAGAAAGAAATGTGAAGGGAGCCTTTGCTACGACTTCTCAAATATGGAGATATTTCTAAACTAGAAATTTGTTAGGGATGCCCTTGGAGTTTGGAATATTAACTTTGCGTCCTATAGTCCTACAGCATATCAGGCCATACTGATTGACTGGACGAGGAATCTCAAAGTTGGCATTCTTGCTCTCTTTGAGGATGGTATCAAGCTTTTCTATAAGTTAAGAGAATATGATCTTATTTGCAATTGCCTTAGCAATTTGAGATTGGTCCATGCAATGGAATGGTTTGGTCAGAAGGAGTTTGTAGCATCTCTTGAGGTTCTTTTTGTAGTTGATGCTAAGAAGTAGGAGTCTGGAAAACTCATGGACCTCTTAGTTTCCCTAAGTTTCTCTGTCTTTGAAAGAAACAAAGGAAACCTTGTTCAGAAAGAATTGAAGAAAGAAGTTTGTTCATTCTTCTGGTTCTTTTCACAGATTGGAGTTTGTAGCATCTCTTAAGGTTCCTTTTGTAGTTGATGGCTCAGAAGAAAGAATCTTGAAAACTCATGGACCTTTTGATTTCCTTAAGTTTCTTTGTTTTGAGAGAAATAAGGAAAACACTATTCAAAGAGAAATAAAGCACGAAGTTTGTTCATTCTTCTAGTTTTTTTGACAGATTAGAGTTTGTAGCATCTCTTGAGAATTGAGAGTCCTTTTGTAATTAATGGCTCAAAAGTTAAATGCGATACTGAATGTGCCCCATGTTTTGAATTCTAACTCATTTGCAACTACTTCACATACGTTTTTGGAGACAACTACTTGTGCTACTTCTAACTCCATGACTGTGTCGAGTAAGTTTGAAATTTGTGGACGGTGAAAGTGAACCAACTATGATGAACGTTGAATATACTGTGGATTTTAAAGCTGCCATGACGATGTATGGTGGAAATGTAATACTGAATATGCCTCATGTTTCGGATTTTGACTCAATTGCAACTACTTCACACACATTTTTAGAGGCAACTACTTGTGCTGCTTCTAACTTCATGACTGTGCTGAGTAACTTTAAAATTTGTGGAAGTGATGTGAATTGACAAGTGAAGATGACAAAGTTGATGCAATATCAAAAGATCACCCACATTATAATTGGCTAACTAATGGTTTAGATTTTGCTAAAGAAATTTCAATGGATTTTGGAGAGACTAGTGGTTGGTTTGAGGGTGACTGTTTTAATGTAATTGAATTTTTGGATTGAAATGTAATAGAAGAAAAAGAATTGTTTAGCTTTTGTTATTGTAATTACCTACTAAAATGAATTAAGAAGTTTACAAATCAAAAAAAAAAAGTTGCAAGTTTTTTAATTAAATCATGTATTAATCATGTTAGAGTGTTAATCACAATAAAAATTGAATCATATTAATCTTTTAATTTTATTTTTAATTGTATCATGTCTTATAAAATTTAACTTAACACGTTTATTAAACGTGTTAATCGTATTGTGTTAAAAAGTTATTAGACATATTTATATATGTGTTACAGATCCTCATGCAATCAGTTAATCGTGTCATGTTCATATTTATTTATATAATTATTAATACTATATATTTTAACAACAGGATAAAGACATGAAAATATAAATTACCAAATCTAATTTTGACGATGAGGGCAATGAGGGACCAAATTTGCCTATTAACAAGGGAGTTTGAGGAGACAATTTCTGGAGAACATGAAGGAGAGTTGGGCTTCACCAATCATCTTAAAAAAAACCAGTAAAATGCACCATAGCAAGTTAGACAAAACAAGAGCATCATATACAGAATGATAGTAGAAGGATGTCTGCGTATATTTACTTGGGCAATAATGAACTAAAGATGTATATGGATTGAAGAAGGCTATCAAGGTCATGAGAGACAACTTGATGAATCTGTACGCCAACCAACAAAAGGCCACTTCCTTTTTCTTGATAAACACAAATTAAAGCCAAGTGATGAAATTCTATAGCATTTAATCTGTGGGTGTTGATGGAGAAATGGTTGGCTTTGGTGGAGATCCGTGGGAGATGGGTCTTAGAGTTGAGAGAAAGAGAGTGTTAAGCTAGGAAAATTGTTTTGAGGGGAAATTTTTCAATGAAAATTTAATATTAATTTTAACTTGCGTAACGTGGCAAGATCTGGTATGTAGGGCAAAGAGAGGCACGAACGCTAGGCGTAAGATTTCCATTTAAAATTTTAGATGATTATCCTTGCATCGTTCTAAAGTGGCTAAGTCTGATCCGGTTGGGCTTCTAGAGCCCAAGGAGCCCAATCGACAATCAAAAATACCATCTGGTCCATCTCTAAAACAGGAAATTGTAATTTGGTAAAAAGAAAATTGTATAATTAACAAAGGAAAAGGAATCTGCACACTGATCGGTGTTTTTTTTTTTGAAATCTTGGTGGAATGGGTGCTCGCATAGCGGATTCTCTATAGCCAGTAGCATAGTTTCAGTTTCCTAAGGCAACCCAGAGATGACCCTTCTTCAAAGACCAGTTCTTGTGCTCCTTCTCCTAGTAACTCATCACTTGTTGCAGTGTTGGATTGCTTTTGGATCGGTCGATGAAGAAGGCCAAAAACAAGAAGAATTCAATGAGGAACTACTATTGAAGCCATTGCCGGATCGAAAAGTGTTGGCCCATTTCCATTTTCAAAGCTCTGCCCCTCCTTCCACCTCTAATGGACGCCATCACCACTTGTTTCCGAAAGCCATTTCCCAGTTGGTACTTATTGTTTCTTTAATTTGTTTTATTCGGGTCACTGAGAAATCTTCTTGTTTAGAAAAGAGAATTTGTTTTTGGTTTGTACGTGTTGCTTTTGTTTGAATGGAGTCGGAGAAGTTAGCTTAGCTAAGTCGAGTCGGTTTCTTTGGTTTCTGAATCTATTGGTAGTTTAGAAAGGAGGTGCCAAAAAGTAAGACTTCAAATCTTTCCCTTTCTCCTGATACATTTATTAGCAAAATCTTGAACCATTGTGTACTGCAAGGAGGGATTTAGTTTGCTTGCTTTTGGTCTGCTTTTGCCTGGATGTTGAAATTGATATTTAAGGAGCAGATTGTGGAAGGACTATGTAGTTGTCAACTCAGGCTGAGTCAATTTAAGTAGTTAGTAGACTGCATCATGTTGCCAGACTAACGGGATTTAAAAAATTTCGATTTGTTACCTTGTGTTTCAGTCTCAGAATGAAAATTTGATGCGGTTTATTCTGAGGTTAAATGTTATCATGATCTCTGCAGCACTCAGCTTGGCCTGAGTCAATTAAGGTAGTTCATAAAGGGATTTTTTTTTTCTTGAAATCCTTGTACTAGGTTATATAATTTAAATTATTAGTCAACCTATCTCTATTATTTTCCTACTCAATAATAATTAATTCATTATTTTCTGCATTCATAATATAAATGAGAAAGAAATGCTCTTATGAACTCATTATCCTTTTTAAAAATATTATGTCGAATACAAAGTAAAAACTTGGCTATAAGTTTTCCTGAAAATAATAGTGCATGTGTTGCAGTAATTTGTCTGTCTCTTTTTCTGCAAGGAAAAGATAAGAATTCTGATTTATAGCTTTGTTGTAGATATTAAGAAGTTAAGAACTAAGATAAGTAGCTTTGTTGTAGATATCCAACGATTAACAATTAAGATAAGTCTTTGAAGTATTTGAAAGCTGTGCATGACTATGAACATCTTTGAATAGGTTCAGAAATTTCGAGTTAAGGAAATGGAGCTGTCTTTCACACAAGGTCGCTGGAACTATGAAAGATGGGGTGGATTTGATCCCATAGCAAGCAGCAATGCAAAGCCCCCTGGAGTTGAGTTATGGGCTGTCTTTGATGTCCCACAACATCAGGTTGATGCTTCCTGGAAGAATTTAACGCACACTCTCTCAGGTCTTTTCTGTGCCTCAATCAACTTCCTAGAGTCTACTTCAACTTATTCTGCCCCAGAATGGAGTTTTCCACCCGCTTCAGGCAATCTGAGGTATGGTACATTGCCCCGTGAAGCTGTTTGCACTGAGAATCTAACTCCATGGCTGAAGTTGCTTCCTTGTCGGGATAAAGCTGGGCTTGCTGTGTTACTGGATAGACCATCTATTTACAGAGGTTTTTATCATTCTCAGAGATTGCATTTGACCTCAACTGCATCTGGTTCAAAGGGGACTGATTCAGGCATCATATTAAAACAGGCACTTACAGTTGTTCTTCAGCCTATCCAGCCTAACGGTCGAAGGGCCAGTATGGACCATGCTGGTGAAAAGCGTATTCAACCAAGCTGGTCTCTTAGTTCAATTTTTGGGAAACAAGTTCGTGGAAGATGTGTTCTTGCGAAGTCTAGTAATGTGTATCTTCAACTTGACAGAGGCTTAGTTGCTGAACTGAAGCATATCCATAAAGAAAATGAGAAGTCTGTGGCAAATGGTTTAACCTCTGAGAATTTTTGGACTTATCCCAGCTTTGAGTTGTCTGCTAGCCCGGACAGGATAGTTATAGAAGAAAATAGCTTCCATGGCAAGAGCTCATCCATTTTGTACAATTTCCAAGTTGAGAAATACACTGAATCTGAGCCATTAGATCTTGGCCTTACTTGGAAGATTCCTGTAGTTTGGTCGTGTCAATCAGCACCGTTACATTCTAGTAGGTTCTTGATGGGAAGCGGGAATGAGAGGGGTGCCATTGCTATTTCCTTGAAATCTACACAATTGTGGGAGGGCTTCATGGGTGCTTTTGACAATAATGAAAGGTGTGAATTGCAAGTTGATGTTTTTCAAGTTGTGCCTTGGTATGTTAAGGTCTATTTCCATTCTCTGCAAGTGTTCATTGATCAACAACCTAAGGCTGTTTCAGATGTTATTGAGAAGATACATGTTTCACCTTCCAAAGACAAAGTTTCACCTGGCATGATGGAAATGGTTCTGAGACTTCCTTGCAGAGTAAAATCAGCTGCTTTAACCATAGAGTTTGATAAGGTGTGCTTTTCATTATGTTTATTTTAGCTATTAGTTGATCTGGTCTTACACATTCTATTCAATAAACACAAGTTTATTAAAGGTTTGGATAAAGGAGCTAATGTGGTCCATAAATGTAAGATGTCAAGCTAAGTGAAATCAACACTAACCATTGGTGGGTTTTGCTGCTGCATTGGAGTCCAGTTTTTTAGACAGAAATGTATTTCTGTAAAAGCTACTTTCAAAATATTAATCATATAAGATAGTAAATTGGGTACCTTGAGTATACCTGATTTTGACTGTACAATGTACCTGAATTCAGACTTTGTCCATAAATGTTTGTATGTTTGAACAAAAACCTATTAACTAATTCCATTGGTTAGGTAACGTTCAAACCTAGACCTACCTATCTGAACCTGTAGAATCTCAATTCACTGTTTACTTCTTGAGCTGGATGCATGTGATGAAACCTACCAATACATTCAAATTATATAATCTTTGCCTATGTCTGAAAAAAAAGAGGATAAATTGCTACTGGCTGCATCCGCTATCGCATCAATAAAAATATTTCATCATATTAGGTCTCGTATGTTTTTTTTCCTTTGCATTGTTAGAAGACTTGTTATTCCAGGAACTAAGACATGCTGCAGTTCTGACATGCTGCTATCAATCTAAGACATCCTCTGCTTGTGGATAATGACTATCTGTTTTGATGAAATTAATAATTTAGAACTGAAACAAAAACAGTTTTGCTTCTTGCTTTATAGGCCAAACTTTAATATGATTTCTGCTTCTCGATGTATTGTTGATGAGTTGATTCTCTGTTTGATATGTCTGAATAGGGTTTTTTACATATTGATGAATACCCCCCTGATGCTAATCAAGGATTCGACATACCATCAGCTATTATAAGCTTTCCCAACTTCCATGCAAGCATGTTTTTTCTTGAAGATGGCTCTTTAAACAAGTCACCCTTGTTGTCAAAGTTTCAGGTACTAACCTCTTGATATTTCTGGTGCTAAACATGATCCATTTGTATTCTTCTTCTCATTTGGCATTAGCTTTGTCTGTCATGCAGGAAAAGAGTCCTGTAATGTCTTACACAGAAGTATTATTGGTACCTTTGACAACTCCTGATTTCAGCATGCCTTATAATGTTATCACAATCACGTGCACGGTGTTTGCATTGTATTTCGGATCATTGCTCAATGTACTACGAAGGCGTGTTGCTGAGGAGGAGAGATTTCTTAAAGACAAAGGTAATTTTATCTCATGGAATAGGCCATTATTGATTCTCTTGAGAATATGGATTTTGTATGGTTTTCAATCATGAAATAATCCCATATATTATCATGCCCATAGCACATTTTTTAGTATAGTTGGTAAATACCACACAAGTCCAATTTCTCAAGTTCAATGCAAACTTTGTTAACATCTACTCACAGTCATGTCTATCAGTATAAGTAAGCACTTAGTGACATGGTCAGGTGTGTAGGTTTGGATGGGAACCTGAAATTAAAGGTGTGAGGCTTCACTTGTAGCCAATCATTCTTACATTTTGTGGTCCTTTTAAGTTGCTTGATAGCATTAATGCTAGCTTCTTCTTCTTTTTTTTTTCCTGATTCGAGATATCTCTCTATTTTACTGATTGGCAATTGGGGTGCTCTCTCTCTTCTTCTTTTTGATTATTATTTTAGAACTTCGATTTGTTTGGACCATATGCATTTATTATATAATAATAATCTGTAGTACCTCCGAACATCAGTAAAATATCTGAAGGATTGCATGCATGGTAGTGTATGGAGAGCTGAGCTTTAAAAAATTTGAAGTAAAAGGAGAAAACCACACATTTTTTCTGTCAATGTAGCTGAGTTCAGCCGTATAATATATGCTGTTGCTTTGCATTAAGCTAACATAGGCAGTTGAATGTTCAGATATCTTCTAAGCATCCATCTTCATCACTTTTCTTCTCCCTGATAAAACTATTGGTTGGAAAGGTAATTAAGAGAGAACATTGGAAACCAAAATTTATATGGTTTGGTTATTTAATTATATTCTATATGGTCTGGCAAACCAGTGTTTATGTTGTGGTCGCAACTTTTGATGGTTTGACCGTCACATCTTCCCTCTGACTGATATTTTCCCCTTATTGTTCTACTTGCAGCCACCAAGAAAACTGGTCAGCTACCTCTGCTGCTATCAAAGTTGTCTGCCAAGCTTAGAGGTAGACCATGGGAACCTCCGCATTCACCCCCATCTTCATCATCCTTCATTAGTTCTAAGTTAGTATTCAAAGTCATACTAGTAGCTGGACTGGCTGTAGGTTGGCAGTACTATTTTTCATGAAGTTAAAACTATAGAAACTTTCAGTGTACAATATGAGCAAGAAGAAAGAATATGAACATTAGAATTAGTGAAAGGATCATGTTCTTCCACAATCCCATGCCACTAAAAAATTTTTTGTTTCTTCATCATTTTGAGCCATTGACATTTTCTTTTACTTTTTGAAAATTTGACTCATATTTTTTCCTGAAAGCCAGTAGATAACTTTGTTCTGCAAAATTATTCGCATTTGCATCAAGGTCATTGAATTTTCGGGCACTTGCAGTACAAGGGTTTGTGCAAAGATATACGGGTTTGATAAAGAATGTTAATCATGTTTCAAATGACATGTCTGCTATGGTCATTTCTTCAGGCTGTTCCTCATGTTGTTGAAGTATAAAAATCAAGCCTAGGGTAATTTCTTAGCTTTTCTTAACAGCCCATTAGAGGTGGTCTCTTTGATATGGATCTAAGTTCAGTTCATTTTGCACCGCCTTATGTTATATCTTCTACCGTCTATCTTGCATAAGGGTGTAGGCAATTTTCTCCATTTCAGCTTCTAAAGAATACAGGTAACGTGATTTCAGCGCATTGCTTCCTTTTTGCATCTCTCCTACAGATTTAATTGCAGAAACTACTTCAATTTTAGCTTAGATTTACAGAAAGTGCCCCATGTTTATTGTGGAAAAAAAAAACTGTCAACATCAGGAACTATGAACCAAGTCGGCATGTAATTGCACACTAAGCTTATTACAAGTCTGTTTCCACAAAAAGCATGAATCCTGTTAAACTCTATTTACATCTTTATAACTTACAAGAATTCAAATCCTCAATCTCTCATCCGAAAGTTGGCATTTGGTGGTTGGCTAGTGATTAAACATATGGAGACAGTACAATCTGATCATGTAGAATGGCAGCCATAACTGACCCTCTTGCAAGATGCAGCTACAACCACTTCATCTTCCCTCATCCTCTTCATACTGCCACTCAAGTAACAGCATTTAAATGGCGTGCTCAAAATGGTGCTAGAGCCATTGTTCCCACTTGCTTGAAAATCTGTAATGTGAACCACAAAATGCATCGTTTGAAATGGCAAAAGTACCATGTAAAACCATCAGAATCATTCAGTAGCAAGTATATATCTGGTGATGGTACAATTTTAAATTGATGGCACAAACCTGAGCTGGTCTCATTAATCTTTAATTTATTGAGTAAGCTGACATCGCCCATGAAACTCTTTCTCTTGAAGCCAAGGCCATTCCATTCGGACACTGGACGGCTAGCTCCCTCATGGCATCCTGCATGCAAGGGCTCAATCTTAGATAAATGTGAACAAGCAGGCTTACAATTCCCCATTTTTACCTGAGCTGCTATCTCTTAGCTTTTTATTCTTGATCGAGTCAAGATCTTCAACCTGTAGCTTTGTGATAATTCCAACCTCCTTAACTCCATGCTTTCCAGCTATGTCTTGATTCCCATTAACACCATCTTGAGGTTCATGTGCTCCTGAAAACAGAAGGCACTCATCCGTCTTCAGGCGAAAAAGGACGGAAAACGAACATGATTTTGATTTCTGACTAAGATGCTCGAAAATTTGTCATACTCTCCACTCTTGTTCACGACTATGCAGCTACCCACCCACCTATGTTTATGCAGTCTTCTTTTACCCTTCATATAAAGCCTAAACACAAGGTTTCACCAATGTTTCAATGATCATACTCATTAGTCGATGTCAAATTCTTAAAAGTTTTCCAATTTTTTTCTACACATCATATAATTCAAACAAAACCCACAAATCTAAAAGAACCAACGACAACCTTCCTCTTCCCATACTTTCCCAGCAAACCGACCACAACACCGAGAACACGACCCTCTTCATCCAAAACAAACTCCCACAAAGAAAACAAACAGTAAACTTTATACTTAATACTTACTCTTAGTCCCAACTTTGCAAAGCTTGCCATCAACAATGAGAGCGCTCTTATCATCAGTCCCAGTAGACAAACCTTTAGAAGAGAAGAAAGAAAGCAGTGACCTCCACGTAACAGACGGCGAAACGAGATCCACCCCTCTGCTTATAAAGTGCCCATTAAGCTTAACTGTCGATGGGTCGAGTCCGAATGCTCGAGCTATCGACCCAAGGTCAAGTTTCTGGCCATCCCACACCACGAATGGAACCAGCTTCGATACTGAAGGACAGAAAAGCTTGATTGTTGTTGGTTTGTTATCACCTGGCATCGATTTCGATCTCTCTTTTAGCTCTTTCGAAAGGAAAATGGGTGAGACTTTTTTCTCTCTCTTTTGTATTTGATCATGATCCGCTAGTTTGCTTCCATGTTCCAACGGCTTCTGGAAGTGTCTTCCACAGATTTTGTTTTTGATTTTTGGAGTCTGGACCCACTGATTTGGATTGGGCTTTAACCGCTTAAGGCTTCGGCTTGAAAATTTTAAGAAAAAAAAACGTTTAAAGCACTCAAACTCTCTCGTGTTAGCATACTAAACATTATAATTGAAAAAATGTTATGACTGCACGTGTAAGTGCTCATTACGTTATGATTCAAGAGTATGTTTATTATGTTATGATCTAAGAGTTCAGGTTAAATTGGATAATTCAGTAAATAATAATTCAAACCGTCTAGATTATACACATGAGTGTAATCTGATTTTAATTTTTAAATTTAATTATATATTTTAGATGTAGATTAAATTAAGATTACAATTTAATTTAAATATTATCTATCCAAATGAAATTCTTTAGCAGTATCTCTATTTTGTAAATTCTAAGAAGCTATTAGCTTATAAATATCCCTAACGTCATTTGTAAATGTACAAATGAATAAGATCTTTTTACTTTTTTATTATTCCAAGTTATATTTCGCAAGACGTTATTATTCGATTTTCTAATCTTTTGAAGTTTTGGTATCATTTAGTTTTTATCACTATCATCTTAAAGTTAAAGTTTCATTTTTTTAACTTTTGATTTTAGCGAATCAGGTAAGTAAGTAACTTATATTCTTCAGTGTTTTCACATGAATTCACTATTATATATATATATATATAATATTTTGTCTTTTAATTTATTAAATCGGATTGAGTATGTATAAGATCTCTTTGTTTTAGTTTTGAAATATGATTTCTCAATACATAATTTTTTTGTTTTGAATTTCGAATATGATTCTCAATATATTTAAATTTATTTTTGATATTATGAGATTGATATATATTTTGTAACAAGTAAATAAATACTGCTTTGTATACTCTGGTTAATCTGAAACACGTTTTGACTATTAAAAAACAATAATTCTTTCAAAAGTTCAGTTGAATGTATTTACGGTTGCAAGATTTTAAAATTTATAAGTGAGTATAACTCATCAATATTTAAAAACAATTCTCAACTAAAATTGTATGGAAAAAATATTATTGATGCAGATATGTTAGAAAGAACATTTTCTACTTTCCACATCTCAAATGTGCTTAATACAGTACAAAAAGGTTTTAAGAAATACTCTGAAGTCATATCATTCTTTTGACATATTTGTATAAGTATTATTTTCTCCATATAATTTTAGTTTTGAACTGATTTTAAGTATTGTTGAATATTGTTGAATTATACTCACTTACAGTTTTAAAATTTAACAATCGAATATACATCCAATCATAATAAGTTTTTAGTTTTTAGAAGAATTATTATTTTCTGATGATAAAAAAATATTTATCTATTTGTTACAAAACAAATATCAAACAAAGTTAATTTTATATATTCAATTCAAAATTTCTTGAATTATATTAAATCTCGTAGTATTAAAAATAGATTTATATATACTGAGCATAATTATATTCAAAATTCAAAACCAAAAAATCATGTATTGAGCAAATCATATTCTAAAATCAAAACGAAGAGATCATATGTTTCAAGTAATATAATTATATATATTTGCCTGCTCAATTTGATTTAATAAATCGAAGGATAGCAAATTAACATTAAGGCTTATTTTCAGGGGATAAAACGTTAAAGAGAAATCAAATCATTTACTTGATTCACTAAAATCAAAAATAAAAAATCAATTATTGAAATCCTCTTGAAGCTTAAAGAAATTCGACTTTGAGATAATAATAATAGTAAAACTTAAGACATTAGAGAATTGAAAAAACAAAAAAGTGAGAAGATATTAAGAAAGAGAAGATCTTATTGGAGTTTAATAATAATATTAAAACTTAAGAGATTAGAGAATCGTATTGATAAGGTGTTGTAAAATATAACTTGAAAAAACAATTATAAGAGAAAAACTTTAAGAAAATGAGAAACTTAAGAGATTAGAGAATCGTGCTGGTAATGCGTGTTGTAAAATATAATTTAAAAAAATAATTATGAGAGAAAAGCATTAAGAAAATGAGAAGATCTTATTCGAGTGTGTATTTATAAATGAAGTGAGAGAACATGAAAAAACAATTATGAGAAAAAAGTATTAAGAAAATGAGAAAATATTATTCGAATGTGTATTTAAGAATGAAGTGAGTGCTATTTATAGGCTAATAGTCCATTTATATAGATAAAATTTACAAGACAATGATAATAATAAGATATTTAATTTGGAATATATAATATTCAAATTAAATCATAATTTTAATTTAATTTAATTTACATTTAAAACTAAATATATAATAAATTTAAGAGCTCAGATCAAATTACACTCATGCGTCTTAGCAAATATTTTTAAGTTTTCATTTTAAATATTTGTTATTGTTAATATTAATAAGATTTATCTAACATCTAAATATATAAGATTTATCTATTTGTAAATAAGAATAATTACATTGAATGATTGTTATTAGAAAATATTTTTATTAATCTTAATAGTATTGAATGATTTATAAATTAATATTATAAATTTTAAATAGATATAAGTGAAACATTAATTGTGTTTTACATTTATTGGCTTTCAATTATAATCATCTTTATAGCCAATCAACTTTACATTTTAAAAATATTAATACTTTAAATATTAATTATTATTTAAAAATGAACGAAAATAAAAATAAAAATATTCTTGTATAAAGCAAAAGACTATAGATACCAAGAATTTTTTTTTGGCCATTGTCATTTTGCTCTGTTTTATGTGATCCCCATCCCTCCCAAGAAGGAAGCGTGCGTGTTTGCAGGTGCTGGAAGGAAAGTTCTTTGCGAATGAGCTAAACCCAAGGCGCCCGAAAGGTATATAAAGCGGGGGAGGGAATCAAAGCGTTGCCTAGAAGAAAGAAAGAAGCAAAGGGGAATGATCCAAACCTGAAGTTGCCAGGGCTTTCCAAACCAATCTCCTACATTTTTCAATGCTTAAGTCGATGGGTTTTCTTTCAGGTTCCCTGGAGAATCCCTTAGTTATTTAAACCTCATTTCTTTTCATCTTCCCATATCACAATCCTAGCTAGCCTTTCCTGGATTCTGTCTTCGATGCAGACCCAACGAGGTATGTCAAAACTCATGCATGCTGTTAGATCATTTATTTTTTTTGAATTTTTATAATTTGCTACTCTTTTTTTTTTTTTTTTATAAAACAGAAGGTCCTGTTATGGAAGTGAAAATGAAATTGCTTGGAGAACTTGAAGCATTCGGATTTCCACGAGCCCGAGCAGTTCGAGCACTTCATCATTCAGGTGAGCTTTCGTATGCAATATGTGATGCATTTACAGTATTTGTTCAAAAAAATTATGTACTTTACTTTTCCATATAATTTATTTTCTAGGTAAAGGATGATATTTGTCTGATGTAGACCTATTTCGAACCGTTCTGTATATTATGTTAACATCAATGTTTCTGCGTAGCGCAGGTAATACTAGCCTTGAGGCTGCTGTAAATTGGCTCATTGATCACGATAATGATGAAGACATTGATCAGATGCCCTTGGTGTGGCTTTTTCACATTGATCAAAATCTCCACCTTTGTTTTTGTATCCTTTGTCACAAGGATTTTTTTTTTTTCTCTTTTGTTCAATTAAATCCAGGTAGCGATAAACTTGGATATTGAGTCGCCTCAGCCATCTGATATCACAGAAGCAATAAAAATTAAAGAACAGGAACTAAGGTTTGACTTCGATTATCCCTTTGCGATGAAAGCTTTTACACCCTTTTCAAGACAGTTAAACCCTTTCTATTTGATTGTCTTCCCTAAATATCTATAACTGACCTTTTATGTTTGATGTTTTATTCTTTCCCCATTTTGACTTTGTTAAGACTCATACTACCCTTTTCAATCTGTTCCTTTTCATGCTCATTAAGCTGCTCACTCTTAGGGCTCGAGTTCGCATAAGGAAAGAAGAAGAAGAAAAGAAAAGTTCAACAGAACGGGAGAAGGTATCGTGTAATCATTCATTTTGTTGATTTTACCATTGTCTGTAACTAGGCATTTTAGTTTGTCTAACCTACCTGCTACACCTTTGGCAGGAAAGGATTCGAGCAGGTAAAGCATTCCTTGAAGCAAAGAGAATTGCAGAGGAAAATGAACAACAACGGTTTGTTTTAATACTCCATATATATGCTCCTTCTATGCAGAAATATTAAACCTTATAGCTCCTCTAATTTCTTAAACCAATGACATCATTCCTATCAACTTCTGGATGCATAATTTACCAGCCTTTTAGCCTTGCGAAAAGCAGAGAAAGAGGAACAGAGAAGGGCAAGGGAGAAAGTGCTTCAGAAATTAGAAGTGGATAAGGTCATTTCTAGTTCTTCCTATGTTCTGGCCACAAAGGGGGAAAAAATTCCTACTAGGTTATTTTGAGTCTCATTATGATCTTCAGCCTGCATGTAATTCAAACGGTTTATATAACTTCACAGTTAGAAAGAAAGCGAGCACTTGGATTGCCACTTGAAAGCCGAGCTGTGAAACCATCTGGACCGATTATACAAGAAAGAAAGGTAAAAATATCTGTCAAACAGTATCTCTAGATACAGGGGACACTTTATCTTATATGGAGATTGTTATCAGATCGTATTGACTTGGTCCTGTTTAAGTTGCAGAGTTCTTTGCCTGCTAAGTCCGTTAAAAAGGATGAGTCCATGAGAGAATGTCTAAGGTCTCTGAAGCGCACTTACAAGGTAAACGATTTCTTAACTCATTGTTTTCGCAGAATCAAACAAAAGTTTATATATGTTAGAGTTGCCTCCTTGTGCATGACTTGCAACAAATGTAATTCTGGAAGCGAGATTATGTCATTGAATGTATTAAACTATTGATGATCCTTCTAGACAACAATAATCACTAGAAGAATTCCAAGAAAGCCTTCAATGGGGTGGTTGTCTTTATCCACATCTATTAAACAAGAGAGGTTGCTTGGTTTGGAGGCAATTTCAAAGTCATTTTAACTCACAAAACTTTATCTTGAAAATGTTTAGAGTATACTTTAGGAGGCCAAACAAATTGAGCAGCATTCTTATTGCAAGTGTACATATTTTCTGCTCTATTTTTTTATCCCTAGAGCCTCTTAACAGAATTGCAGAAATTTCCTATTTCCATTTTTATACTTTGCAGGCTTTAACTACATTGTCCATTTTATGTACTCTGTCTAATATATTTTACTTCAAGCAAAATGATTCTCCAGTTACTTTTATCCTAGGATGATCATGCCAGAGTTAAAAGGGCATTCCAAACCCTATTGATTTATGTCGGAAATGTTGCAAGGAGGCCTGATGAGGAAAAGTACAGGAAGATTCGACTTGGTAACCCACACTTCCAGGTAAGGTACCTTTTTTTATTGGTCCTGTTATCTGATTGAAGTGTGCAGTGACCATCTTTTTATATGGATCACTGTTTTAATTTTTTTTATCTTTTTTTTGATGGCTCACTTTTCTTCTAACAGGAGAGGGTTGGGAGCCTGAAAGGAGGTATTGAGTTTCTTGAGCTTTGTGGGTTTGAGAGAAGTGAAGGGAGCGAGTTCTTGATTTTACCTGGTGGCAAGGTCGATGTAGAAGTGCTTAACTCAGCTGGCTCTCTGTTAGGATCTGCAATCACAAATCCCTTCTTTGGTCTTTTCGAACAGATGAGAGAAGATTAACGTTGCAATATGAGATTCAATTACATTAGTTGAACGTGAATGCTGAAAGGATGACCATAGATGAATAAAATATTGGAATTTGTACCTACCTCTATTGTAGAAACTTTTATGGGTCTGAGTGTTCGCTAATGTTTTACAAAGCAATTGCAAGTGACTTGTGAAGAAAGTTTGGAAGCAAGTGTTTGATGTATGTTGTCTATAGCAAGTGTTTGATGTATGTTGTCTATCTTTTCAAGTTACAGAAGCTTAAAGTAGAGGAACTTTTAAAATATCACAAGGAATAAGGGTGCTGAAGAAAATATAGGATAACAAAATGTTAAAACTAAATTATCGACAGAATATTTGGTTGGGAAGATGTTCATAGTAAGTTTTTTAAATTAATGATGAAATTTCTACGGATAATTTGGTAAAAATAAATTATGATGATGAAATTAAATGTTTAGTAACGATTTTATTATTACCAAATTTGTAAAACACAATGTGAACCAGTTTGTTTTTGTGCTATTAAAATAGTTGAACTTGATACTTTTCTGGTTCCAATTTTCAGTAAGCAGCTGGGTTCCAATGAGGTCACAAAGAAAAGCTTTCCAACTGTTACGTGCAATGAAGATTCAAGGCAAACCAAACTAAAGGGCAGGGTGGCTATACAAGAAAATTCTGAAAATGATAATTAAGGAGCAGTTTGGTTTAATTGATAGATTCAATTTCTGTTATGTCAAACATCAATTTGCATATACAAGTTTTTGTTTCATCCGAGTGAAAGGGCTCAGTTTTCAGAAAAATCAGTTCAGTCTTTGAAGACAAATCCCTTCATCCTTTCGGCATTCACCTTCAACTAATGTCAACCATGACACAATCTGATAAATCTGTTCCTCCAACCGAAGATCCTCTTTCACCATACTTTCTTCATCATTCGGACCATCATGGTTTGGTTTCAATCATTCCTAAGCTTACAGCCACAAATGACATCACCTGGAGTCGTTCTGTTGAACTGGTGTTATCAATTAGAAATAAGTTGGACTTCGTCGATGGCACGGTCGGAAAACCAAAATCAACTGATGATCTTTTTGTTTCGTGGACCAAGTGCAACAATCTTATTGTTGCTTGGTTGTTGGAATCCATTTCACCACCAATTGCCACAAATATGTTCTACATGAAGAATGCTACTGAAAAATTTTGGGAGATGCGATTTGCACAACCTGACGAGGCAACGATTTGCAACTTACACTATCTGCTCAGCAATCTCAACCAAGGTTCTAGGGCAGTGGATGAATATTATACTGAGCTTAATGGCTTGTGTGAGGAACTGATAAATCATATGCCATTGCCTTATTGTTCTCGTGGAAATTGTAATGGAAATTGTTTTAAGATGTTTGTGGATTTGTATCAAAAGAATAGTGTGTTTAAGTTCTTGAACGGCTTTAATGATTCTTCTTCTTGTCTGAGGTCGCACATTATCACGTCAAAACCTTTTCCAGGTTTGGATGAGGTCTATAATCTAGTTCAGAGAGAGGACACTCAAAGGTCCATTCATATTCGGAATCATCCCTTACATGAGGCGTCTGCAATGGCAGTCTTGAATATTGATGGCAAAAGAAGGAATATGAATGACCAGATTTGTAGTCATCGTGGGAAAATAGGTCACTCGAAGGACAAGTTTTATAGGATCATTGGCTTCCCAGCAGATTTTAAATTCACTGGGAACAAGAATTCTTTAAGAAGGAGCAATGCATCTGCTAATAGTACACTATTGAATCAAGATCAGAATGAAGAGTATTTGAATAGTTCAGTGCCTCAATTTTCACTCACCAAGCATCAATATTAGAAGCTCATGATCAGGGCTCAGACAGCGAGGAAGAGAATTGATCAGCTCTAAACAGCACTCAGCCTAAGACATTCTATCAACCAGCTTCAAGTAATCATCAACCTAAGGCGTTTCACCCAACAACCTAAAGCAACCCTCAGCCTAAGCCATCCTTCGTTAATTCAACCCTAGCAGATATTATTTCTTTGTCTCTTTGTCCTAACAATTCGAATTTTCCTATTCAGATGTCTCTATTTGATAGCATGAAAATAGTAACCGATGATCCTCGGATAGTTGATACTGGAGCTACGGTTCGAGTAGCTTGTTCATATCTGCTAGGAACGTTAGTAAACATGCATGTGCACCTACGTAAATTTCAAAGCATTGGTAACATATTTAGGGTCCGTTAGGTTAACAACAACTTTTATTCTAGATGATGATCTTTTTGTTCCATGCTTTGCATTCAATTTAGTAAGTGCCACCAGTCTTACTTGAAAAAAAAAAAAGATCTTTGTTTGATATTTTCTGACACACGCTGTGTAAATCAAGATCTCACCAAATGGAAGGTGATTTGGGCTTGCTAAAGTACAAGCTGAATTATACTTCATGCAAAGGCTATTGAAGAAAACTGTTCATTTTGATAATTCATGTTTTTTTGTCTTTTCCTGTTAATAATACTTCTGTAAAATATAAGTTTTTTTGATGATTTTTTTATCTATTAGGGAAATTATTTTTACCAAAATTGTAAATTTTGTTTCAGGACAACCAGATTTGTGGCATTCTAGATTAAAACATATTCTGTTTAATAAAATACGAACTGATAAAACAACATTGTTCTAAAGTGTTTTGTATTGAAAAATTTCAATGTCAAATTTGCCCTTTAGCCAAACAAAAGACGCTTCCATTTCCCATCCATCATCAAGTTCAAAATTCTGTTTTTGATCTTATTCATGCTGATATTTGGGGACCGTATGCCATTCCTACAATCAATCAACAACGTTGTTTTCTTCCTATAGTGGATGATCAAAACAAATTTACATGAGTTTTTCTAATGAGAGCAAAATTAGAAGTTGTAGCCATTTTGGCCTTATTTTACAATATGGTCTACAATCAATCCCATAAATCAATTAAGCAAATTAGGTTAGATGATAGACTAGAATTTAAACTTTGAAGAATTTTTTTTCTTCCAAGGGTATTCTATATCAATTGTCTTGTGATGATACTTCACAAGAAATTGGAGTTGTAGAACAAAAACATCGAAGTCTATTAATGATGGCTAAATCATTTATGTTTCAGGCTTCATTACTTGCAAAATTTTGGGGTGATGCAATTCTCAGTGCCATTCATATCATTAATAGAATTCCTTACCCACTGTTGAAAAATAAAACACCATTTGAGATCTTGTTTCAAAAATGCCCTCCTTATTCTTACTTAAGTGTCTTTTGATTACTTTGCTTTGTTTCAACATTTAGTCATAATAGGAAGAAATTTGACCTTAGGGCATCTAAATGTGTTTTTCTTGGATATCCCCTAAGGACCAAAAGGTATAAGGTATACAATTTGTAGCGACAAAAATCTTTTATTTCAAAGGCATCTAAACACCTTTCTAAGTGTTAATCGAAATTTCAAGTAAGTCCATTAGTTTTGGAAATGAATACTTCGTGCTAAAAAAATTATCTTTCGCTAGACATATAAGCCCAGCCATTAGTCAACTGTTATTGTTTCTATTAGTTTGATGATGTGGCAATATTGAAATAGTAATTTTATCCTTTATTAATTTTAAAAATTATTATTATATAATTTTTATTAATTATTTATTTATTTTGTAATTAATTAAAAAAAAAAGAGCATCGATTAGTGCTTTATAAGGGAAAGGTGCACTTTGCTCCTCAAGAAAGCCCCCAAGAGAGGGGAGCAGTGTTCCCTTCTTTTGGGGAGCACTCCTTTTCTTGGGGAGCTAGGGAGCACCAATTAGTGCTCTCTTTTTTTAATTTTTTTAAAAATATAATAATAATTTTTTAAATTAATAAAATATGGTATTTTAGTCCTTTCATAACAACTATTAACGGTGTTTACACTTTTGTGACAAGGGTCTATTTCAAAAATTAATAGACCTGTTTGGTATTTTAATTAAAACTTAGGAGAGTGAGGGTATTTTACTCTATTTTGTTGTATGGCACTACACTCCTCAGTTACCATAACCGTTCCATATTCCTCAAGATTCCTTTTGTTCGACAAGATTTCCTTAAAAAACTTAGCACAATTAGGCACTGGTGACAAAGCTTCAGTAATGGAAATGTTAGTATGCAACTTTTGAACACTTCAAAAAATTTAGAAAATTACTTATCTAGCTTGTCTTGCTTTAGTCTTGGAGGATAAGCAAGATGAGGCATGTATTTCTTAGAATCAAAGTTAAGAATGATCAAACCTTTACCCTTAGATGTTTTGCTCACTTTCGCTTTTTCCTTTTAAGTAAACTCCACAAGTTTGTGCCACATGAACTAATGTAAGGTTGTTATGTAGGAACCCATCTTGATGGCCATCGCACGGCCCTATAAACATTTATATAGACTATGTGCCTAGGATAATATGTTTTATTTGGTTTTATTGTGAACATTTAATTATGGAATCCTTCGTCTCTGTGTTCTATGGTTATGAACTCTGAGCCTTGCTTGAGTCTAGTGGGCTTACCTGTTGGGCTTGTACACTGCTCACGGATTCTTGGGTTTGGGTCATGACATAGTTGGCCTCCAAATGCTAGATCTGACCTCATCAATGGCATAATCTTTGAGAGGCCGTGGCATTACCTCTTCATTATTTTCTTCTCCCACATTGCCTACAAGTATGGCTGCCATTCTCTACAAGGTATGTAGAATACGCTCAATTTTGGGGTCAAATGCTTCAGGTACTTCCTTTCTAGCACATGTCATGCACTATAAAAGAAGACACGAAATAAATAAAAACAAAATAGAAATTTAAAAGCTCTCAAACTAACAAGTAAAATCAAAATAAATGTAAATTTTTAATTCAATCCTCGACAACAGCCCCAAAAACTTGATGTCAATAAAATAACACTAGCAAGTGTACTAATCGTTCACGTAATAAAGAGATAAGTATGATATCGTTCCTAACGAGGATTGATAAAAATATGCAAATAAAATGATCAAACCAATAATGTTATTTGAGAAATCAAATTTTGAAAAGATATGGTGAATTAAATCTAGTAAAGACTAAATAACAATGAGGAACTAATAAAATTTAACACAAGTGCAAAATATCAAGAGGAATCTTATGAAAAGGTATGTTAGGAGTTTGATAACTCTATTATGTAGAGTTATTCTGACACATTTTGGTGGCTTAAGTAGTAAGATCTTTGAGATTTTAGGTTCAGATGATAGGATTTTTAGCATGCTTTATGATGAGGGGGTGTTGTTCAATTTTCTACCCACGCAAGTATACGTATCGAAAAAATAATATAATGATGAGTAAAGTATTGTTCCCATAGAAAATTATTTTAATTCTTATTGTTAAATACTAACATTGACATAACCTAATCTTGTCCAAATAATTAAAATTATAATTAAAACTAATAAACTAATAAACTAAAAATTAAAATAATCTAAAATCTATTAGCTAATTGACTTTATTAAATCTGAGTGACTATTAGACTTAAGATTATGATGTCCTTCAATACTTCATCTAATTATTATCTCTATCTCTTAACTTAGTGTAATGGATTAAGCTGCTAACCTAGAGTCTTAAATTATTTACAAGTCTTTATCGAGTATTTCATAAAAATACCTCTCTCAATTAATTTACAATATGTCTATACAAATTAAATTGAAAAAAAAATTATTAAGTTCGTGCTCTAATCCTGCCTATGTATGGCTTATAGGTGGATGTCTACCTTGTTGGTCTCAAAAAGCATGTTAGAGGGGGTGAATAGCAGTTTTGAAATGACACAAAAATTCTTTGTAAGTAAAGAGTTGATTAAATGGATTTGAAAATGAAAGTTTAAAGCTTGTTGGAAGGATGATTTAAGTGCTAAGAGAAGAAGAAAATAAAAGAAAGTAGACAAAACATAATAATTTATAGTAGTTCGGTCCCCTTGACCTATATCTACTACCTTGATCTCTCAATCAAGGATTTTCAAAACAATTCACTAAAATTAGCGGAATTCCCAAGCTTCCATCAAGCTTTTACAATGATTTTTCATAGGCTTAGTCATAACCTTTAACAATGGTTTTTCCCAAGATCAACTAAGACCTAAAACTAACTTTTCTAAGACTAAGTTAGAACCTACAACAACAACCAAGCTAACTCAAGCTTGATCAACCTCATAGAGTGCCTTGCACACTCTAAGTAATCAAGAAATGAAGAAAAGATAAAGTATAAATTATCACTTAGTTGATATAAGATGTATAAAGTTAAGCTCAAATATTTTTTCAAAGGATGAGAGTGAAATACAAGTGTAAAGAGAAGGTTTTTGATTTTCTAAGCTCAAAATCACTTTGGATAACTTCTCTCTCTCATTTTTGATAGTTGGAGAGGCTTTAAATACTTGCAAAATCACTTCTGGCCATTGGAGATAGAAACTAGCTATTACTGGCAATTATTTTATCTTTTTGTGCTTAAATTCAAATTTCTGATAATGAGTTTTTAGTTGGTTAACTATATTTCTTAGTTGATTAAGTCTTTTCTTCTCGCAATCAAATTCTCTGATAGTGAGCTTTTAGTTGGCTAAACATACTTTTTAGTCGATTAAGTCTTCTTTGTCTTGCAATCTGCTTTACTCTGTTCATCAGTTAAGAAAGACTTTAATCGATTAAGAGCTTACTGTTTCTAAAGTAACCAGCTTCACCAACTTTTCT